ACAAAAACATTAGAAAAAACTTTTTCCCTGTGTGGGTGCCGGAGCCCTGGCCCAGGCTGCCCAGGGAGGGTGTGGAGTCTCCTGCTCTGGAGACTTTCCAACCTGCCTGGACGTGTTCCTGTGCGATCTGCTGTAGGTGATCCTGCTCTGGCAGGGGGGCTGGACTAGATGATCTTTTGAAGTCCCTTCCAACCCCTGACATTCTGTGATTCCCCACTGCTGGAGCTTTATTCGATGTGCTGAAGTGTGTGGGATTTTAATTCTACAGGGTGGAAAAATACAGACCCATGAAACTATGCGAAGTGGTTGGAAATGAAGATACAGTGAGCAGGTTGGAGGTGTGGCCCTGTCCTTTCATTTTTTTTAGCCATTAGCTCTAAAAACAACTCTGCGTAGGTGTGCAGACTAGAAAAAACTTCTGTATTTTTACCATCCATACGTATATGGAAAAGAACATTTTGCTATACTTTAAAAATTATTTATTTTAGGATGTGTTTTGAGTGATGTGCTGAGGAAATAATGCCTTCTTGAATTGGGGTGTTTTTTACATCAGCCTTGTTTTGATACAACTTAGAAAATTTGTGGCTGTTATAATAATACTGTTGCAGTGAATAAGCATGATTTACATAACAGCAGAAGGAAACATAAATGTAACGTCTGGAAGAAAAATATTTACCTTGACAAGCTAGTTTGTGAACACAGTGTTTGTTAACAGAAAGCTTATACTAGCAAACATACAACAGGTGCAAAGGAAAGACAGTAATACTGAAGATCTGTGGGATTAAGTGCTTTTAAGTTTTCCATATTATTCTAGGGGCTCACTTCTAAGAGCTCAATTAAAAAAACCCCAAACACATGAAAGCAGCAAGGTTCAAAAAATGAAAGCACAAGGGAAGAAAATAATTTGATTGTAGCTCCATTTCTCATTATTAAAATAGAATTGGAAACTATTTGTTCCTGCTATTTTGTCGTGTAATATTTTAAAATTTTTGGTCTTTCTTAGGTCTTTGCGAAAGAAGGGAATGTGCCAAATATAATAATTGCCGTGAGTATTTTGTTGTGCTGTATTTCACTACATTGGTCCTGGCTTCTGAAAGGTAGCCACGACAGCGTCCCAACAGAGAGCTGCGTTGTGCCTGAACCTGTTGGCACGGGAGATGTTGGTTGTGTGGCCACAGAGGACTGTTCTTTGCAGAATCCACAGCTTTCTCTTAGAACCCGACCTGGCCCTGAGGTGCCTGTTGAAGCGTATCTTGTGCTTCTCCCTGCAGCGTTTCCTCTGTTGGAGGCAAGATCCTGAACTCAGGCAACCTCTAGTCTGATGTGCCTCTGTTGCGGCTGTTTTTCTTGACTGGGGAGCCTTGTAAAGAGCACAGCTTAGAAAATTATGTTGAACTTCCCAGCAGATGTTGCATTTTGCAATTTTAGGGTCCCCCGGGAACAGGTAAAACCACCAGTATCCTCTGCTTGGCTCGTGCTCTGCTTGGTCCTGCATTAAAGGATGCTGTTTTGGAGCTGAATGCCTCAAATGACAGGTAAGAAAGATTAAATCTTATCAAACTTGTAATGAAGAGGGAAGTATTCATTTTTATTTTTAGTTCAGTTCAGGCCTTGTGATAGGCTTAATGCTATAGTAAAGCCTGTAGTATTTATTTTAATGCTATTTTTCCTACCAAAAATCTTTGGCTATCTTTGGTGTCCACCTGTCAACATAGATATTATTACTTGATATTTTATAAACTTGATAGATACTTTCATACACAAAAATGTAGACCGACAGAATGTAGAATCCAGAATGGTACTGTTTTCTTGAATTTAAAGAGTTACGTTCCCTCCTAAGAATGAAAAGTGAACAAGTTGTTTGTAGTGGAACTCTTCAATACTTAACAAAAAAATAGTGAAGTGATAGAAATGAGTGCTCTTAGGGCAGTTGAGGATTAAAATGCAGGCTAAGGGTGCTGGGTGCGTAGAGGGCACTGACTCTACTCCAAGGATGAGGTATTAAGGGCTGATGATGTTTCCCAAGTTCTGTAGCAGACCCATCCTGAAGTATTCCGGGGACGTTTCCTGGAGGATTGTCTAGGAGTACAGTACATTTTACCTCCCTTTGTTAATACCAGTTGTAAAAGAGCTATGGAACTATGACATTAATTTTCTAAACAGAACAAAAAAATAAAGTCCTTTCTTTTTAAAAGCAAGTCTTTGTTGGGACTCTGTCTAGGAAGGCACCGGTGTTGTGCTAGAACGGTGCAGTCTGTCCAGCTGGTTTCTGAGTTCTAGCTGGGTGTGTGGACGGAACTGTGTGAAGTACTGGCAGAGCAGTATTAAACACTTCTGCTCTCGTTCTTTTACCTTTTTTACCTTTTGCCAAATGTAAGTAATTTTTTGGAAGTACTGTAAGGTTACTGCTGTGTATTGACACCGTTAAATTATTTTCTCAAAGCCTCCAAAAATGAATATTGGTGGTTTAAATCTGAACCAGCCCGGCAGTCGGGCTGACAGCGCTGTTTCACAGCAGTTACCCTGGCACAGCTGAAGGGGCAGGAACAAACAGCGGGAGAATAGGGAGCTCAGGAGCGCTTCAGCCACTGTGGCTGCTGAATAAAATCTATTATGTGATTTCACCCAACTGACTGCGAATCCCTCGAATTATTGTTCCAGAGGCATCGACGTGGTGAGAAACAAAATCAAAATGTTCGCCCAGCAAAAGGTCACACTTCCAAAAGGTCGGCATAAAATAATCATCCTCGATGAAGCAGACAGGTATGTTGGGTTTTTTTAAGCTCAGCTACTATACAAGATGTGTTGCATCTACCCTATCTGTGGAGCTGCTGTCTTGGACAGTTTCTATCAAACTGTCCAAATTAATTTGTTAGGAAGCAAATATGCATTGAACAGTGTTTTTATGAGACTACTCCTGTCAGGCAGAGATCATTGCTTCAAAGGAGATGCTGAATGCTGGGGTGAAACACTTCGTGTGTTAGCTAGATATAAGATCTTCTTTCCCTTGGAAAAGAGTCTGGCTTATGTAGGCAATTTCACTGGATGAAAGTGGGCATTCTCTTCCATCTGCATATAAGGAGTAGTATTCTTAGCTGTATTCTTTGGAGTATTAATGACTTACTTTTGCATGTTAGTTTTACAGAGGTCTCGGTGACTACCTGCATTGCAGGATGAGTTGCTCCCATGACTAGAAAAAGCTGCTTTGTTGATCAAGACAGAATATCAAGTAATTTACAGAGGACCATTTAATATCAGTAAATTCTGAAGCTTGTATACAAATGGTTACTACACTGCACCTGTAAGTTAGCGAAGGGCAAAATCTGTCCTAACTCCTTTTCTCCTTTCAGCATGACAGATGGAGCACAGCAAGCTTTGAGAAGAACAATGGAAATTTATTCCAAAACGACGCGCTTCGCACTTGCGTGCAACGCCTCTGACAAAATCATAGGTAAAGCGCTGCGAGTCCCTGGTAGGTTTTGTCATATGTTCCCCATACTCCTGGCTAACTTGCGAGGCAGTTTTCAGAAACGCCTTGGACCTGCTCCTTGCGAGAAACCATAGTGTTTCCGAGAAATCAAACCACCTGTGCATACAGATAGCAGAAGAGGAGTAGAGTTGTGTAGGTGTAGAACCCTCTGAATAGCTGGTTTTGATGGATAGTGCTATGTGTGACCACAGAAGCAAATTTCTCAGACTTTAGGCTGAATCTCCATCGACCTTCGCTAAGGTTTTAAGTAGTATGATGTAGTGTCTGATGTAGTGTTTAATGGGCATTGAACCCCTTTTGTTGTCCTGCTTGCTGAAACGTAAAAGTTTGCCAATGGGCTAACACATTGTAGACCTTTAGACTTCTCTTGCTTAGCAGTGATAAACAGACATTCACAAAACCAGGAGAACAAAAGCTGAGCTTTAGACATATTTGCACATATCTGGGAGAACTCAAGTAGCACATTCAGGTTAGAAGGACTGTAACAATTACATGTGACAAATGAAGAGTTGGAAGCTGAGATCTCTTCTTCCAAGGTGAAAACAAACGTGGGGGTATTTTTCTGAGAAAAGAGGGAAATGCCAATAATGTATCTCTGTCCTCAGAACCTATTCAATCCCGGTGTGCGGTGCTGCGTTACACCAAGCTGACAGATTCACAGATCCTTGCAAGGCTACTGAAGATTGTTGAGAAAGAGGATGTACCATATACAGATGATGGACTAGAAGCCATTATCTTCACAGCCCAAGGAGATATGAGACAGGTAAAAGAAGAAAGGCAACAAAGCAAAGGCTTCTGTTTAAAGCAAAAGACCCTTTAAATTGTGGTTCTCAAGGGCTTGTCTTTGCCACCTGTGGTGCAAGAGTAACTATTTCATTTCGTGAAGGTTTTAAGGTGGATCTGCTCTTTAAAATTGAATTGGTGGGAACGAGATACTGAATTTGTGAGAGGGAACAAAGTGTGTACATTTGCGGTTTACTCTGTTGAAAACTGCTTATTTGGCGTCATTGTCTGAAAAGTGTATTTCATCCTGAGGAGCGGAGTGAGAAGTAGAGCACTTCAGGAAATGAATTCTTTTTCTTTTTTTTTTTTTTTCCTTTCACAGGCATTAAACAACTTACAGTCCACATATTCTGGATTTGGCTTTATAAACAGTGAAAACGTCTTTAAGGTTAGTGGTAGCATAAAACAGCGATGCTAGAAGTTTAGCACTACAGCTGCGCAAGACCTTTGGTCAGATACCTGAGCCTTTGAAAATGCTTTGCCGGTTTGCAGGCAGTGCTGTGTATGCAGCAGTTACAGCGCTGGGCTGTAAAAAAAGGGCACGTACCTTTTGAAAAGGGAGCGAGCACTGGCAGCTCCTAATGGCACAGCTAAGGCTTCCTGGCTTCCCAGCTCTCTCGAAGCACAGGAATCACACAACTGCTGGGAAATGTCACAGTGATAACTTCTGAATGTATTTCCTCGGGTGTTCTCGTTTCATGCTATTAAGTCTTCCGTGGCAGGGCAGCTGAAAAGTCACATTGCTTAAAATCTAATCTGTATTATAGAATGTATCTGATTCAGTACTTCAACTGGATAGAAGCTTGGTGAAAACACCAGGGGTTCTAATAGTCTTCTAATATTTTGAAGTGCAATATTTCTCTTTGACACAGGTGTGTGATGAGCCTCATCCTCTGCTCGTGAAAGAAATGATACAACATTGCATAAACGCAAATATTGATGAAGCCTACAAGGTTGGTTTTCATGTGTTGCGCCTGCACAGACAAGCATTTTTTCTCTACAGAATTCTTGTTGGTTTTGAAGAATTCACAGCGTGTGGTTTTTTGGGGACAAGGGCAATACTGTGCAAACAAGTTGATGAATTAAATCCTTTTTATGCTGGGGTCTGCCAGTTGAATAAGCCGAAAAGCAAAAAAAAACCCCCAAGTTGCTTGAAATTACTTGCTGAACAATTAAGGGTAAATTAGTTGATAAATAGTACTTGCAGTTCCAGTAGTTATAGGTAGCTGTTCCAAAAGTGAATATACTTGTCTTACCTGATAAGTTTTACAGATAAATGAGGGATTGTTCTTGCCTGCACAGATTCTGGCCCACCTCTGGCGACTCGGATACTCTCCAGAAGATGTGATTGGCAACATCTTCCGTGTGTGTAAAACCTTTCAAATGCCAGAATATCTGAAACTGGAATTTATCAAGGTTAGTACTAGCCTGGTTCCTGGTGGGGCATTTTGGGCTCTTTTTTAAGAAGAGGATATGATACCTCATACAGGGGGGCAGCCTCAGGTTTTTCTGTTTGAGATTTGCTATATATTAGTGCAAAAAAAGTATTTCTTCTTACTACCGCTTTCTTTCCCACTCTGCATCATCAGTTTGTCAGTAAGAACAGTCTCTTCAGGTTTAAACCACCCACAGAAGTGCCAAAAGTCACTTAAGTGATCAACTAGAATTAATAACACATGTAACGCTGGCTGAATTTATTATTTACATCAAAGCCTCAAATAATTCCCTGAGCACTGTTTTCAAGTGCATACTTGATTCCAGTCCAATAGACTGCAAAGTATTAAATTGCAGTAACAGCCAGCTGACAAATGGTGAACTGGTGTAACGGAGTCACTTCAGATTTAAAACCTGTCTTCAAATATACGCACCTTGCTCCTTACACAAAGGAAGCAGGGAAATACAGACTTTGATTTTAAAAAAAGGAAAAAAGCATTCGATTTGAGAAGATATCACTTAAGTGCCTTTACTGACATTGGTCTCTTAACAGTAAGGGCTATGTTCTATTTACTCATTAGTCTGACTGAGGGAGAAAACCAAGGTTTTTACAATGTCTTTATCCCCAGGAAATCGGTTACACTCATATGAAGATAGCAGAAGGCGTGAACTCGCTGTTACAAATGGCCGGACTGCTGGCCAGGCTGTGCCAGAAGACGATGGCCCCTGCGGCGAGTTAGACGTTTGCCCGAGGTTCCCCGAGGGGAAGGCCCAGCGGGCAAGGCCAGCAGCTCTCCGCACATCCCGAATTCTACGGGCAAAGAGCTCAGTCCCTTGGTTTTGCGGAAAAATAACCAGATTCTAGTATTAAAAAAGTCTTTTGTACCTTTTTTTTCCAGACCAATAAAGCTTTAACTTTTACTTTGAACCCAAGAACTCTTACCTGTGGTGTAACCGAGGCAGAAGAGAGGACTGCGACAGTCCTGAGCAGTAAGGTTGGGGTAGTGCCTGCCACAAAACTACTTACGTCAGTGGTACCGAGCCTGAACAGCAGGAGAAATAAAAACTGAATCCTGCTGCTTGTGACTACACTTCAAGATTGGCCACGAGCAGTAGAAGGAAGAACTTTGGCACAAAATAAGGCGTTTAATGAAGTTATAATTGAGGCGTGCTGAGCAGGCACTACTCCGGCCCTACTCATAGTGTATGTGCCGTGAGTAAGGGAGATACTTTCACCAGAAATATTGCACATCTCTTAATGACGCCAGCTATTTATTTTGGATATTTCTGTTAAAAAATTACCAAGTTCTGGGACACTCTTCATTTGAGTTCCCTTCCCTGTTCTTGCTCGTCCAGGTCAGGCAATATCATTTTACTGTAGTTTCAGCGTAGCAAAAAGCTACAGCATCGTCCTTTCCTGTCTGTTCAGTTTTGGAAACCACCTTGCCAGTGCGGATGAGCAATAAAGTGTGAAGTGCAGAGCGAAAGCAAATATAAATTGAATTTGACCACCTCCATATCCGATGCGAGATGTGTGACCCCAAGCAGAGCTGTCTTTATATAATTAAGTGTAGCATGCAAATAGAACATGGTAAGAGCTACAAGTTACCAGTGCTTGCACTTCACCCGGCCCGTTCTGCTGATGCTTTCCGCCTCAGCTATTCACTTGCTTTTAGGATAATTGATGTAATACTCAACTGATTGAGCTTACCTTTGGGTAAGTCACTACTAGCACAAACACTAGTAAGTATAAGGCTAATAATTTAGTAGTAAGGGGGTTAAGCTGCCGAGTTCTCTACAGACAAGCATCACATCTTTTGTCACCAAAAACTTAAATAAGGCATATTTAAAGGGGAGGTTAATTTTCCTTTGGCTGCACCCCACAGCCAGCCTACTCCCTGCTTTTCTCCTTAAATATTTATTTTCATCACTGAATAGGGAAGGAAGAGGTGTTATCACAGAAGTTTCGTAAAGTAGCAAACATCGTATTTGGAAGACCCTTAAGGCTGGTCCTTACCCTGCTGGGTGCACCTACCTGTGTGGTGGCTGCCTTGGTGCCAGGAGCAGGGTGAGAAGCACAGTGGGTCACAGCTCCTCGCCCGTCCTGCTTTAAGGGGTTTTCAACTATTCAGTAGCTGCTTTTCACAGTTCCAGTTTGGAATCAACCCTTTTCTGGGCTAAGCCCTTGCAGCACTGGAGGGATGAAATTGGACCGTTCCAGAGAAGAGGAGTATCGGTCTGAGAGGCCACCAGCACAGCTGGTTCTGCCCAAGGCGGCCGCTTGCCCTCCAGCAGCTGGCTGAGGCTCCCTGGCTCCATCCGAGAGCCGCGCCACTGGTGCAAAATTACTTTTCTAATGCATCTTAAATCGAAAACAGGAAGTGAATCACTCGCTTGGCTGCCTACCTAATGTGAGCAAAGAGATACACGGACCCACGTCGTTTCTCCTTGTATTACATTCAGACAACACAGGATCTGCAAAATTTGGTTGAGCACTGGAAATCCTTGCACACCTGGAAACAGGTCCTGAGAGGACACACACATACTCACCCACTGCAAAGAAAAACTGTAGGGTGTTTCAGAGCAGAAACATTGATGAAACTCTCATAACAGTCCCACATACCTTCCAGCATAACAAGATCACAGGCTGAAAAGTACTTCAGGAGCTTTACAAAGCTGAAAAAGGATTTCTCTCTCTCTGGCTGTTCTGGAGAGCTGCAAAGGGGCAGATTTGCTCAAACCCCCAGTTAGAGGAGGGAAGATGCTCCATACCCAGCTCCTGCTCTGCCTGCTCCGGCTCCACAATTTTCAAGTTCCAATTTTGGCAGTAGAGGAACCTTATACCAGGGAAATGGAATTGGTCTAACCCGCCTCCTTGCTTAGCAAGGAGAGCAGTAAATCTTGTACATTAAGGTTCTGGCCGCACACTCACCTAACGGCTAGAACGTTCTGGGAGCTCTCTAGCTGGATCTATCACCGCATGCCAAGGATCTTTTACTGCTGCTGATCTCCTTTTAATTGTTTAATGGCTCTCTCCAGTTACGAGATGAATCACCAGTAGATGTAATGTCACTGCACATCACTGGAAACAGAGCTTGCCCTTCATCTCCAGCAAAAAATCCCTGGTCTGCAGCACTTTGTGGGAAGTGGGAGTTTCTTCAGGGGCCGAGTGAGTCACCAAGGATGACAACGTCACAGCCCCGCAAGAGCTGGGCACACTTCTCCGCTAACAAACACATCTCCTCATTTCCCTGCCGTCTGTGCAGGGCCAGCGCAGGCTGCGGCTCTCACCGTGGCTGCTCCGGGCTTGGCTGTGGGGCAAGCAGAAGCCAACTGGGGCTCCCTGCATGTATATAGCCCTGAAACACTGCTACGTTTTCTCTGTTGTAGAAGTGGAAGCAGGAGCAAATGCATTTGTAGGAGCTACAAGGCAGGCTTCTAAACCAAACTCCAAACCACCCACCGTTTCAGCCCCACCAACAGCGGCCACCCGTGGTCTCAGCAATTCTGCTGAAAAAACAAGCTAAGCCCTGTGCAGCAGGAAGCACCTGACACCTTCTCCCAGAGCAGGGCTTGCTCGCCCTCAGCTCCACTCCTCTTCTCACCTTTACTGTCGCAGTGACGTGAGCGTGGGCTGCCTCTCTTCTTGAAGCACGGTTTTCTGAATCGATTTTGAGGAAGAAGGCTTTAAGGAGCTACATTTTCTCCCCAGCAGATCCCACAAACCACTCTGTGTCATCTCTCATGCTCCCACCTCAGTCTGTCTCACCCAGCCATGCAGACATCTGCATTGTAGCAAACCATAACAAGACACTGCATTTTTTTTCTTTGGATGCTTTTTCGATTTTAATAAATAAGTGGTACAACAGATCTGCTCATCAGGTCTCAAGAGACAAGGGTTACGTTTCAGGGCTGACGTTCCCTACGGCAGTACCGGAAGACCGGTGCGGTTTTTGAGGCTGGCAGCTGTGGAGACCTTCTCAGTTGCTGCAGGGTCTTTGTGTCTTCATGAAACGGATACCAAAACACAAGGAAAAGTGCCAGCAACGGATACTGTGAGTGACAAGTAGTGGATAAGGCAGGGATTTAATCCTCTTCAGCTTTTGTGAACAGGTTGGTATCTCGGTTCCAGAGAACCGCTGCTGTTGTAAAAGCAACCTCCGCCTTGCCAATTCCTCTCTTGTAGGAAACCACTTCTCTAGGAGAGCATAGGAACTAAATCAGAACATAATCCCTGTGTCTTAACACCACCCTGCATGAGTCACTCTGGTGAACAAAGGAGGAGGCTGCATTACCGCTCAGCAATTGAAAGATTCATTTCATGCTTGACAGGAGAAAACGCTGCACAGACTGGCCGTCCTCCCCCGAGTAGGTGCATGGGGAAATGAGGTGGGGTAACGAGTTCCCGGCTCACCCGTGGTCACTGTGGGCAGAGCGCTTTCTCCAGCTGCAGGGCTGCGGTTTGACTTCGTGGGACTTCAAGCAGAGCATTTCTTCCTTTCAGCAGCACCCCTTCTGCACGGCCTTGGGCACAGTTTGGAGAAGTAATTTTCACTGAGGGACTGAAGTCTCCCCTCTTGCCGCGTGCGCGCTGGCTGGCTGTGCTCTTACAGCTCTGCAGACTTCTTCAGAGTTTACGCAGAACACTTGAAAGAAGAGGGGAAAAAAAGATCGTGAGCGCACCGACTTTTGATCCCTGCTTTCAACTTCTTAACTCCACCACCCGTCACGTTTTCTTTCTGGGGACAGCACAAAACATCCACGTCTAAGCAGGAGCCCCAGTCGTGCTCCCGTATGATGATCCGCGAGTGGGGCAGAGGGCACAGAGGCGGCAGCTCATTGCTGAATTCACCCTCCTGTGGCAGAGAACTTCTGCTGGCATTTGTTGGTTGGACATGGGGATTTTATTGCTTTACTCTGCTAGCAAAGGCTGTAACAGAAGTGTCATTAAAACAGCAAAAAGTGCATTGGCAATTTTAGTTTACTGGGCTGACAGAAGCTATTTACACCTACAGCCACAATAGCCTCCAGTGATAATCCCTAGCAAAATGCTTTCCCAGAAAATCTGTATAACCAGTGCTTCACAAAACAGCTGTTTCTCCCTCTTCTACCTTCTCAGCATCATTTGTCACCTGGAGGGGTGGATTTATGGTAGCTCCTGTGCAGTTTGATCACTGCTCTCCACCAAATCAGGTGAGGTTGTTACAGCAGCTTTTGTCAAACCTTTTGGGCATCTGTCAGCCCTGATTGCTCCCCCCTCAGCTCTGAATGAGGTGGGCACCCTCCCCATTACAAACAGCCAACAGAGCAGTCTCGTCTGCCCGCTGCCACAGAGCCACCAGTAAAAAGCCGGGTCTCGCTGTGACCGATGCAGAACCATAACCCTCTCCTCCTCAAAATTTCTCAGTGGAAAATGAATAAATGCAGAATTGCTTGTGACAGTTGTCATTATAGCATTTTTCCATGGAGAATCTGTCTTCCTTCTTCCAGATGTATAGCCAATGCAACGCCTGGTTATTCCATATACACCTGAATAGAAAAAGCGTCTCTGCAAAAAAAAACCCCAAACCTACAAAGTTTGTCTGCAACCTCATCTGATACAGTCAATTTTTATGACATTCTCCTGGTTTGCTCCAGCTCAAGCAAAGAGGATTCTGGCAGGATTTCTGAGGCCAGGGCTCTTGTGTTCAGCCACATCCTGGCAGAGGCTGGTGTTGGAGTTTGGGGAGCAGTGGGGGTCTATGGGCAGGGGAAGCTGTATTTGCTACCAATCAAACCACGTGCGTGTGCTTTCGGGCAGCAACTCGGGTGCCACAGGTGCCACACATCGAGTCCTTGACCAAAAAGCACAAGCCGCCTTTGGTGGAGCATCCCTCCCAGCACTCCGTTAGAGCCAACGCTGCCAGGATGGGCTGCTGAAATAAAAACAATAAATAAAAGAAAAAAAAAACAAGAAAAAAGCTGCAAAGGGGAAAATAGCGTGACTGTGCTTTGTACGTCAGGGACATATCTTAAACGCTTGACACGGCTTCAGAAAGATCTGATTTTGAGGCTCTGCCCACTACCGGTACTCAGAGTTTGGGGAACATAAAACCCTGTAACTGGAGCTGCCAGCATGTGATATAAGGACGATCCCACCGCATTTCTGCCAGGTGCTCAGAGGGTAAAAATTCAACAAGGAGCATGATATTGGTGCCGGTTCCTCTCCTAACTGGAGTCCTAGTCCAGACTGGAGCAGGGTAGCCCAGCGCTACATGCTCTAACCAGTACGTAGAGACACCACGGATCTACAAGTTAGCATAGTGGTGGTTTATTTTCCGATTTCCTAGCAATCCACATACACTCATCTGCTGAAAAGACGCTCTGCAAGACCTCCAAGAGCCCATGTTGAGCAGCAATGGCTAAAGCAGAACCTGTTGCTGTGTCTGGTACGTCTGGGGCTGCTTTTCTTCCGTATGATGCCCTGCATTGACTGCCCTGTGTTTTATCACCCACTCAAGTCAGTGCCATGCAACCTCCCCACAGCTCTCCGCAGATAGTTTTCATTTTAACTGCTTCGAGTAATTCTTTATCATCAGCATCAGGTTGCTGCTGCTAACAGGGCAGGACTTGTGGTTGTAGCTGAGCAGGCGGAGCTCAGCAGAGCCCAGGGAATCCCTTGTGCTGCTCAGCCTCTGAGCTGCACGGACCAAGGAGGTTTGGGGGGTTCCCATCTGCAGCACGTAGCAGCAGTGGCTGCTCGAAGTGGCTTTGAAGTGGTTTTGAGTTCCTGTTGGAGGAGGGCGGCACTGGGACACAGACTTTGACAAATTTATCTCCACGGTCTGCATTAGTCAGGTCGGCATCAGCAGGGAAGGTGGCACAGCATGGAGCAGGCTGCTCCGCTCCCCACACTGCCTGCGTGGGCTGCCGGGCACCGGCTGGTCCTGCTGGCGAGGGACAAAGCTCCAGCCAAGATCCCTTTGGCATAAACACAGTCCTCCCACCCCTAAATAAATACATCAACCATTTGCTCTCTTTTTACCTTTGCTTTGACAGAGGGGCCAGGCTCGAGGCAGGCGTCGTGTTGATGTACTCGGGCTCGTCATCCGAGCTTTCTGCCTGCTGAGCTGTGAGGGAGAAGCACCGATCAGCGAGTTGATCTAAAACCACACACGCACACCCCAGACATGCGGTCAGTTTTGCCAATATTTAGCCTTTGGTGCTGAGGCGTTTCTGCACCTGGGCTAAGGAACCTCAGATGACAGTGTCAAGGTCTCCTTGAAGGGGCTTCATTCAGAATGGTCACGGTGAATTTGCAAATGCTCTGCCGAGCAGCAAGCATGGACAGCTTTTCAGAGCCAAAAGAGGCGGACTAAGATTTAGTCTAGAGAATGTGCAAACAGGATGACAAGAATCAGTTTGCTTAGGTGGCTTCCACATCAGACACACAAAGCTCTTAAATATACGTGTATACATTCACCACTATCTCCCAGGCCAGACCACTCCCTACACTTCACAGGAAGCCACACGTTAGATTAAACTACTGTTTAAAGGTCAGCTTAAGAAATATGCACCCTCAAACACTGCAGGAGAGCCACAAGCTGACCCACTGGACGTGTGTGCTGCGCGTTTATTTGGGGGGGAGTTACAAGGCTGAGCTTGCACCAAGGCAACTTCAGAACGACAGAGGATACAAGACGTGAGGAAAAATGTTCTTTTGTAGCACCTCACGGCCAGGATTTAGGCACAGCCACCTAAGTGGTGGCCTTTTGAGTAGTAGAAACACAACATTCCATCACAGCAGCATTCAGTTGCGAGCATGTGTGGCAATTTGCACTCCGCCTTATTGTTTATTACAGACGATCGGGGAAAAAATTACTCTAGACAGGGGCAATGGCTGCATTGCCCTGAGTGTGGTCTCTACTGGTCTAGTGTGATGGGCACCCTGCCCCTGAGCTCCATCCCTAAATAGTAAATGACAGCTGAGAACATACCTTCTGCTTGGTGGAGTTCCCACGTGTGTATCGTCACGCTGTTCTCGTAGTCCACGGTGTCATCTGTGACTAAGAAGAGTTTGGGCAGGATGATGCTGAACAGCAAGTGGACTAAAAATGGACTTTTGGGAAACCCCCCTCCCACCACCACAGCCCCATGCACGTGGCTGAGTTTCCAGCTCATCCTGCCACAGGGTCTGCTGACGCTGCCTCATCGCTTTTCCAGCCCTGACCATGCGCCTGGATATCTGTGGGAACGGACGGGAATCAGACCGGTCCCCGCTGCTCCTGCCTCTTCTGATTGCTCTGTACAAAGCCAGGCAGGAGCAGGGCAGAAAGCATTGTGCTGATCGCCTGGAGGAAGCCAAACTGATTTCCTATTCTGACTGCAACAGCCCAGGACAGAAGCTGGAAGCCCTTAAGCAGACACTGTGGTCCAACATCATCCTTCAGCAGTTCACTGGCCACAGCCTTCTTGGGCTGGATATGGTGAGGAACCTGAGCTGGGGACTAGGACCATGTTCCAGCTTGGCTGTGGCAGCACCAAAAGACCTAGAGAAACAATGCAGACCCCAAAGCTTCTGAACTGCTTCAGAGATCTCCTAAGCAAAGGGATCAGCTCAGAGCTGAGCTCTCGGCCGGTGAGGCATCACCATGCACATTTTCCTGCAGAAAGGGGCAACGCCTCTGGTCTGCCCTACACCTGCAGCAGCCCTGGCTCCACTGGCACGGAGCTGGTAGGAAGAGCTGAACCTGCGAACAAAGGGGTGTTCCCTCTGCTGAGCAGGTCACTGTCCTTCTCTGATACCTTTGTGCAACACACATGGACCACGACAGCAACACACGTACCCGGGTCGGAGCTGTGAGACACTCCAATGATGACGTTCTGATAGGAATAGGAATCCTCTTCTTTTTCTGGCAGAGGAAAGAAAGAGGAGGGAAAAGGGCTTAAGATGACCTGGGACAATCAATCAGCACCTGCAGGAGAGGGCTGATTCCACAACAAAACATCCATCAGCTAAGAAATCGTTTGTCTTGGTCAGGGCTGACCCAGGCACAAGGCTTCCCCAGGGCAGTAGAACTGGGCGATCGCTGCCCCATGGGAGCACCCTCACCACTGGGTGCTGGCCCAGCCGCTCTGGCCACCGAGACACTCGCCGAGCTGGCCATGGACACAGCAAGTGGCCAAAACTGATCCTGGGGCACTGTGACTTTTCTTACAGATGGAATAAAACCCAATAAGCGCAGTTACTCGCCCTACAACAGCCCCTAAGGTGAACGGGAGGACGCCCAGCCCAGGGTAGCAGTGGGGAGGGGGTTTTCCTTCCCAGTGAGCATTACATTTGTCACTGCGGTGTCTTCTTGGGCTAAATGTCAGTTTCTGGGAAGGAAGTGAGCCCCAGTCCAAGCACAACATCTGCCTGAGTACACAAATCTATTAATATCTAGACCTAAAATCTGCTTAAAAGTATTAAAACCCCCTACAGGCTCTTTGTTGCACTGGTAGTGATTTCAGCTCTCTAGCTGAGCCCGTGAGCAGCTGAACCACATGGGTCTCTGTATTGCTGACCCCAAAACCTGTGTGCACCCGTGCCGAGAACACCACGGGCACCCCCAGCAGCTGGTGTGGTCACAGCTGGAAAACCCTGCAGATAGTACAAACCTCCCCCGTAACTCTCCCCGCTTCCGCAGAGCTGAAGGGGAGAAGCACCAAGCTCAGCGGGTTCACTGGTCTCAGGCAGGGTCTGTAACCACTACAGGCTGACTACTAGGTAGTAGCTACACACTGACTACTAGGGAGTCCTCAGCCACTGAAAAAGCATTAAAACTAATGTGGGATACAAAAAACATTCATGTCAATACATTCAGGTTTCTCTTTCTCATTTTTTTAAAAATTTTTTTTTTGTAAGCAAGGGGTTTTTTTTCCATCCCTCCAGTCTCTTCAAATAAAATCAATCACATTTTGAAATTCATTTTAGATAAAACCAGACTAATGCCTGAGTCAGCACAGAGAAATGCTGATTATCCCGGGAGATGAAAGTGTTTCATGGGTGCAATATTTGCCTTGAAAAGGTGCATTTGAATGGAGTGCTTTCATCCCACCTTCATTCCTAGCCTGTAAACCAGGCACACAAAATATCTGAAGGTGTTCCTTCAGCAAAGAGCTCCTGGATGAGGACTCGCCTCGTCCCGCGCTTCTGGGCAGGACCCCGAGAGGCTGCAGCCTCTGTTCCCCCAAACCAGACGGGGCTACGAGCAGGAGAACGGCCTCATGACACCCAATGCTGCTGCAGCGATGGATGATTTGCTGCTGCCCAGAGACAGAACAGAGCAAGAAGGGAGAAGAAACCTGTCTTGCTTGTGTGGAGCCCTTACCGTTGGGTGGTGTGAAGAACCTGGTGCAGTTGTAGTAATCCATAGCCACGGGCTCCCTGTGGGAAGAGCAGCTGCCGTCAGCTCCTCCTGCCCGAGGCACCCCCGGGCTTCCCAGCCTGAGCTACAAGAGAGTCAGGAGCGCACTGGGACCAGTTTGGCTCCGCTCGATGGCACCCAGCTACTTACACGTAGTCAGCATCTCCTTGCAGGTAGTCCTCTGCAAGGGCAAAGGGTTTGCGGTCAGCACACCAGATCGCTGCATAAACTCAGGCTGCTGTCCCAAAGCACAGCTGGATGAATTCCCCGAGTGCAGCTACAGCAGATGTTCCCCAAAAGCCCCGGAACAGCCCCGAAGCCCATCCACGAGCAGAGCCGGGAGGGCTGGGGCGGGAGAAGGCAGTCCCGATCCATCCCAGACCCTGAGAAAACCAGGGCTCGCCACTTCTCAGGGAGAGATCCTGCCAGCTGGCAGGGAGATCGGGAACATCCTCCCCGGTTTGGGAGAGCAGAGCATGGCCCCACGCGCCAATAATCCTCTTAGGGCCAGCACCAGCTGCCCCGGGAGGGCGCGGGGGGCTCGCCAGCATCCCGTCCCCCTGAGCTCTGACTGTTAATCAGCTCAGCGCCGTGTTTTATAAAGCAATCACTAAATTAACCGAGCCGGAGCTCTGCCAGCTGCAGCGTTGGCGGCCTGCACGCTCCCCGCCAGCTCTCATCCCCAGTAACCTCCCGTCACCTCGGCGGCCTTCCCTCCCCAAGCCCCGGGACGCGGGGCTGCAGCATTTACCTGTCAGGAAATTCTGGTACCTGGTCTCCGTCCGGCTCCCTGGGGAAAAGCAGAGGGGCTCGTTCCACTCGCCCAAGTGAACAGAGCCCTTCGGTGGTGGAGGCACCGGCAGCTCTGCCCCTGCTCCAGGCCAAGGAACAGGGCTGCAAGGCTGGACACCCCGGGGCAGAGGCGGTGGGATGGACAGGACTGATTATTTAAATAATCTGCCCTGGACTGGTCAGCCACAGCAGGGTGAGCACTGGATTTTAAGCTCAAACACTGGCTAGATCTTACTAAGCGTCACTGTGCAGCATCGTGGGGAGGTGCTACTAGCAGGAGTGAATTTTACCATCACCCAGCTTGTTTCCAGGATAACCCCCACCCCATGCTTTGCCCAGGGTTCAGCAATGAGTAACCAGCCTCTCGGAGGCTCCGTTCTCAAAACTGCTGGGAGCTCCCAGTCAGCATCTACACAAACAACCCGAGATTTGCGACATCCCCATTCATGAACCTGGCAGTAGGTGCTTCCCTGGTGGCTGTGTGGACGGGGAGAGCACCAAAGCAGTGCCCATCCCAGGGGAGATGCTCACCATATCCAGCGTGGTGGGAGGTGCTGAGCTCCTTGGTGGCTTTCCTGGAAAGGGAGATAAAAATCCCAGGTCTGAGGAAACAGTCCTGGGGTTAGGAGCCACAGCCATGACCGAGCCAGGAAGATCATCTGCAAAACCTCCCTGTGCGGTTTCACAGCAGAACGCACTCAGACGAAAGGAAATCCAGAAAAAGTCTAACCCCACTACTGATCATCAATAAACTAAGCAACCTGATCTAACTGAAGATGTCCCTCCCTGCTGTAAGTTTGGCCAAGACGACCTTTAGGGCACTCTGCCAACCCAACCCAAGCCGTGATTCTATGTCTAGCCCAAGCCACGTCTACAGGGTCCAGAATCCAATCCCAGGTCCTGAACATCTGCCTATGTTGGGTGAACTCCATCCAACTATTTCTACGTTTTGGGTCATTTTTATTTACCTACCTTGCTATTGATAAGTTCTCAGGTTCCTTAATTTGTTCCAGCCTTCGGGTTGCAGCTAGCACCACAAACAAAATGAAATGTTAATTATTACGGCACCAGCAGGTATTTCAACAAGCACAGAGCATCCATCAGAGAGGGTTCCCCGGTACTGGCAAACACTTTTCTAACGCATTCCAAAACAGCTTCCAAATTGTACCTTGAAAGTTCATAAATGGCAAAAAAAGGGAAAGAAATAGAGGGAAAAATGGTGTCTGTTGTGAGCTTTGGTCAAGCTGTGCTGAAGCCAAGACCTGGAGGAGAGTTATGGGGCTCTTGCCCAGCAAGATCCAAGGACAAGGAGCAGCTGTGCGGAGCATCTCTGCAGATGATGACATTTAGCACAGACCCTGTCAGCAGCTCGTTTTGGAATAAAAATGCAAAGGTCAGCACCTGACCCCAGGCGCAGGAAGCAGTAAGGGGGGGAGGATAAATGAGTCACTCGTGTCGATTCGGGTTCACCCACACGGCTGTTTTCACAGGGTGAACAGAGCACCTAAGCAGAGCCCGAGTTCATAACGCGTTGCATTTTGGTGACATTGCTTTAGTGATTCGTTTTCAACATGAAGGGAGATTTTTTTTGTTTCCTAGAGCTCAGAATTCACATCCCTAGAAGCACATAAGACAGCTTTGACAATCTCGGTCTCATCATTTCACTGTCTGGCTTCAAGGTGACCCTTTTACTTCTGCCCCCACCTCTGCTCATGCAGGAGCCCCGTGTACTCACTGGAATGGGATCGGATCACCTCAAACCTCTGCTGCCTTTCCAGGCTGGAAAAAAAAAAAAAAAAAAAAAAAAAGAGGTACAACCTCAGCTGAATGTTGGGGTCTACAACAAGGAAAATAGATGCAAGCAACCTCTCTGCTTGGTGAGCAGAGGGAAGGGAGCACAGCCTCCGTGTTGGGCTTGGGGAGGTGCTGAGCTGTGTTGCTCAGGCATCACCCAGGACCCATATGAGCCAGGAGCAGCTCCTGAGAATCCTCTTTGACCCTTTAAAATCAAGGAGTACTTACGGCCCATTGGCAGAACAGCCCACATCAGCTAAAAGAAAGACCCAGGGAAAAGGAAAGCATCGTTTATTTAACTCCAACCCTAACACTTCATGTACCAGTTAAGGTCAGAAGAGCATTTTCACCCACAAAAACCTGGCCATGGCTTCAAACCCCGCTGCTTCACCTCTGCTGCCACCCCTGCCCCTCCCAACATCCCCTAACATCAGCCTGAAAAAATTACCAACAGGCACAATCAACAATAAAAACAACATACGCGCCCAGTAACCTCTTCACTTTTTAGTTATCAGGACAGCTGCTCCTCAGGGTGCGACACGATTTGTCATTTTTTCCTACTGCAGGGCTGTACAGGCATTTCTTAATGTCAATTTTGGGACCCTGAAATCATCCCTTTCCCCCCGTTTCATTCAGGTCACACACCCCCACCCCAAGATTGTACTCACAGCCCAGGGAGATGGGGTGCCAAAGGATCTTATTATAAAATCTGCAAATATACAGAGTTTGCTTGCAAAAAGCCCAAACTAACCCAAACCAGATCTCCAGAAAGGGCGCATGACACTATGAGCCTGAAGTCAAACGATCAGGCATAAAT